TGGGGACACCATGGGGACATTGGAGTGCGGACAGCAGGGTGGGGACAGCAGAGTGGGGACACCTTGGGGACATCAGAGTGGGAGCAGGGACCAGAGTGGGGACAGCATGAGGACACCAGAGTGGAGACGCTGCTGGGACAGCAGAATGGGACGCGGGAGATCAGACAGACAGGACCGCCAGCACTGTGGGGAAACCGTGGGGACACCTTGGGGACACCTTGGGGACACCGTGGGGACACCGTGGGGACAGCCCGCGGGGGTCACACGGAGGGCGTGGCACCTGTCCCCGTACCTGTTGAGGTGTCCCCAGTTGGCCACTTTCTGCGCCGTGGAGCTCGTGGGCACGAAGCTGTGCAGCTCCACCATGGAGGGGAAGAAGAACTTCACCACCTCGGCCGCCAGCACTGCGGGGACAGCGGGGACACGCTGGGGACACGCTGGGAGTGGCACCGCCGGGGACACCCCGCCGGGTCACCCCCCCCACGACAAAGGCCAACCCCCGTCGCTGAAGTCGCGGGCGATGTTCCTGCGCGGCCGCGACAGTGGCACCGTGTCCAGCCAGCGGTACAGCGACACCAGCGACGTGTCCGGGCCCCGGTCCGGCCCCGTGGCCGCTCCTGTGGTCACTCCTGTGGCCGGTCCCGTGTCCGGCCCCGCGGCCGCCATCAGGGCCCGGCCGGAGCGTCCTATTGCCATGGCAACGGGGGCGGGGCGTCACGGGAGCGTGGCGGTGCCATGGCAACGGGGGCGGGGCTTCATGACAGCGTCCTATTGCCACGGTAATTTGGGCGGGGCTTGATGGGCGTGTCCTATTGCCATGGCAACGGGGGCGGGGCTTAAGGGAGCGTCGCGGTGCCATGGTAACGGGGCGGGGCTTCATGGGGGCGCCTCTGCTGCCTTGGAAATGGAGCGGGGCCTGCGGGGAGCAGCTCTGCTGCCATGGCAACGGGGATGGGATGTGGACACTGGGATGGGATATGGACATTGGGATGGGATATGGACATTGGGATGGGATATGGACATTGGTGTGGGATATGGACATTGGTGTGGGATACGGACATTGGGGTGGGATGTGGACACTGGGATATGGACACTGGGATGGGGACACTGGGATGGGATATGGACACGGCGGATGGTTATATGAACATTGGCATGGGATGTGGACGCTGGAATAGGATATGGACACTGGGATGGGATATGGACATTGGGATGGGATATGGACACTGGGGTCGGATATGGACACTGGGATACGGACACTGGGATGGGGACACTGGGGTGGGATATGGACACTGGGATGGGGACACTGGGGTGGGATATGGACACTGGGATATGGACATCGGGATGGGATATGGACACTGGGATGTGGATCCTGGGGTGACAGTGACATCCCCAGACCAGGGTCTGCTCTTTATCGGGGG